AATTAACTAACTTTGGCGGATTTGGCCCGTGACAACCAGCACACATGGCCGATGTGGATTCATGCAACTGTGCTCAATTAGCGCAATTCCCGCTCGATGCAAAGTAGCGACGCTCAGATTGTGGGATGAAAACTTTGGATCCCTTGTGGGATTGCCGCAAGTCGGAGATTTGGCCGGCAATCAATAGAGTCGAGTGTTCAACAGCTTTGTCAATCATGACACATGGTGCTAAAAGAATCATTATTTTACATAAAAGCGGATGCGAATGTTATTAGTTATGTGGTAGGAATCTCGGGTCTGCAAATCAGGAGGTTGTGAGTGCAAACCCCAGACAGGGGTGTTGACTGGCTATCATTCCTCTGGGGTTGGTGAAATAGGTACCGCTCTGATTTGCCCCTTGCATTGGAGTATGGGATTTTCTACCACTGGCTCAGAGAGGTGTGTGCAAGAGATGTGTGCTGCAGCGGGAAACTCGTTTCACTTATTGGGTTTTTATTTTATTTGAATCCACTACCTTCATTTCCTGTTTGATATTACAATATATATGTCCTCTTGTAATATAGTAAACTAAACCTTGGGTGTATTGAAACTTCTTGGCAGGATATATAATTCATGCATAGATGTATATACTCAGCATTCCAATATTCTACAAAGATGCCCTTGAAAAATAGATTGGGATTTTTTTTCTTTTTCTGTCCTTGCAAAGAAAATGTTTTATCGTAATATTGAGGCTTTCGAGTAAAATATTTTCTGCCCAGATTTCATAATTCAAATATATTAATACTAGGGTCTATGCATTGTGTATTGTAGGTAAAATACAATTTATAACATTTACTGTGAGAGTAACATACAATACAACAGGGCGGAGTGGTGGCGCATTGGTTAGCTCTATGCTTTATGAACCAAGCGACCTGTTTGATTCCCGCTGCAGATAAAATCATCTCCGAGTGATATCTGAATCGGTCCCAGGATATCTCCCTCCTTCACCAACCCACACTGACCAACGTGGTGAAGTATGGCTTAACCACTGCCCCTTGACCTGCAATAGTTTGACAAATCGCATTTAAACAACACGTACAACAGACGTTATATCAATAAACTGTCCTGTCAGTCAACTGCATGTGCAGCTGCCGATAAACACGAATAACGAGGGAGTAATTTGTTGCTGCTTCCAGAGGTGCCTCATATACGCAGCGCACGCCTGGATGACTGGGTTCATTGGCTTCACTTTCTGGGGGTCACATTTGGGGGGCCCTCCGAGCGGCATCATCATCATCAGTCATCGTAAAATCCATCATTATTTACACCTTCATCAACTCTGCATTCATTATCACCGCCGCCATCTTCGTGCACACAGGGACCATCGCCACCATCATTGCCATCACCCTGGTCGCCGACACCGTTGAGTCTCGGTGTTGTGCGACTTCTGGAGACACGGTGCCACATCCCTTTGTCCAGTGCATAAACGTAGAGGCTCGCTTTGTGGGCCAGCCTGTCTGGTTTGTACTATTTACTCGCTTTAGTGGGCTGTGTAGGGTCACACTCGACAGTGCATAAAGCATCGGCTCCATTAGCACCGCTTGGTGTAAATTATTTGATTTGTCCGACTTTTACCATCACGCTGGAACACACTGGACTGTTCTTCCAAAGCAGCGTTGGTACGTGACATACAAATGGTGATCCATTTATAGACACCCCACCGATTTCTAATGACCCCTCTCTCTTCCTTCTCAACAGCTGACTGAATATTGCGTGAATGATGCCTACGTATCTTAGAGGAGAGCATCCACAGATCTAATGTGCCTATCCTTGAGATTGGTGCGAGACGTATAGAGGCTTCACAATAAAACATTGCGGTATCTTTAAGTGCTGCCCATTATTTTAGTAGGGTATCTATAAATGGACCACCCTGCATATCCGTGATTGTGTATATTCCAGTGGTACATGCGGTAAGTTGAATATGCCGCTGTGTGTATTCTGCATATACTTTGTATGCACCCAACTGTGCGTGGTTGTGCCTGTGTAGCTCTGTTTACATAACCGAGTCTCTTACATTGATTTTCCCCATTGGAGCGTATGCACCCAACTAAATGGTTTATCTGGTTATATTGTCTGTCCCATCCTTGTATTCGTCTGCCGCTGTTAGTCTGCTTATCAGTGTCTTTGGCCTTGCTGTGCATGCATTGTCCCTGCGGTTTTGTTTGTCTACGGATCTCCCGAGCGTGCATTCACCACCCTCTCAGCCTTAATACCACCACCATTCGTGCTGTGTTTGCTCTGGCCTTGTGATGTATATATTGCTCTGTTTGTCTCTGTCTCGTTCAGTCTGGATTTATCTCTCTGCGCACTTCACGCGGTTCGTTCCCGTGTATCTCTTTACAGCTGTCTGCTGCGGATAACTTGATATGCAACAACACGAGAGATGTGTTAAGCATCATAACACAGAGGGTCTGTCGGCGCGCATTAGTGAAAACCTTGCACTTGATTTATTTGATCAAAAAAATGTCGTCGCTGAAACAATGATCTGCACTGAGCGAGCATGTGGCATAGTAATGTGACAAAGACGTGAATTGAACCTAATGGTGGGATTGTTTTTCTAGACCTCTGTTAGACGAATAAACAGTCATGGTGACTATAAAAGGATCGCAAGGCGAGTGAGAGTTGTTATGATTAATGTAAATTAAAGTGGGGCTTATCGTATGCTCCACGAGTTCCAGAAATTGTTTTCAACATTTCCCCCCCCCCTATAGATTCAAAACATCTATCGTCCTTGGTGGTGGGGGGAGGGGTGGCTCTCAACATCCATTCAACCACAAACAACCCCTCTCGCCATGCCAGTCTGTTCACATTGCTTTTACATGAGTGGAATTGTTTGGATACGAATGCATCTGGAGATTATTGGCACGTAAGACCACATCGGTTCATCGATTCAGATCGATTCTTGTGCTTGCGACACATCTTTCGAATCCTGCCTGTGAGACTTGGTAATTTCACCATTTGGGCAAATAACAATGTTTGCAAATGATATATTAATGGAATTGTATGGTCTCTAAGCAGGTCAACGAAGGCATTATAATCATATTTAATATTATAAAATTACGTTGACTTTGATGAATAATCCTTACAATGTAGTATTTAAAAAACCCAATCAATTATTTGGTTGAGACTCTTTTTGATAATTTTAGTATCAATACTCATTGTGTTATTCTTAATAACAATCCTGGAATTAAAATGACTCATTGGAAAGTTTCAATCCAGAATCCAAAGGCACGAGAAATGCAAAACTTCAGTCAAATTGAACCATAAGCAAAATTCAAACAGTTAATATCACGCTATACATAGCCAACTGCACTAATCAGAGGTGCAGGGTGAAGGACAACAAATTAAACACAAAATCAGTTCTAAAGAATTGAGTTTTCAATCAAAATTTTAAAACGTGCATAGCTCCAGTGGCTTCCGAATGTCGGAAGGAAGGCTCTCGCGGCTTGCAGTATCGTCTCACACATCACAATACGAGCACAGGCTCCCCTCCTCACGCTCTGGAATGTGACCCCTGCCTTGCCAGCTGAAGCTGGGCTACCAGAAGATGGCTCTCGTGGCTTGACGGTTGTCTGTCAGCAGCTGTCACTCTCAGCAGGACCACTCTGAGTAGGGAGCCCACTTTGGTCGAGAAGCAGCTGCCCGTGAACGTGATACTATTATACAGTAATATACATAATACACATCTCCAATAATAATGGCAACAATGTATCGTGTCGTGGCGATGCATCCATTCATCGGTTCATAGGCAAATAATAGGCTCGTGTTGCTTTTATAAGAATAGAGTAAACCAAGCTGTACGAATGAGACTTGTAAAATGGGGAATGTCACGAGTGGTTCTGCGGAGGCTCCTGATGCCTTCGCCGCGCATCTCGCAGTGGGCCTGCCCAAGCCCCACTTTTACGTTTCTTAACCGCGTAAACATTTCGTCTTTCCGTCTCTCAATGCGAATCCTAGCATGCATTTCTTCATGCTGCTTCATGCACTTTTTCAGTTTTGTTTCATTTTTGTCATCTTTGTGCCGACGGCAGAGTTGCTAGATCGTTGGTTGAGGAAATAAAATATCACGCTATACATAGATTTTTCCTCACTTGATACAGTAAATTTAGCTGTGACGGTCCCACCTGATGACGGAGACTTGTGTTGCCTCCGAAACGTCGTGATTTATTATTTTATTTCTATTATTATTTTTAGTATTTTTATTTTTACCTACGGGACTTTACCGAAAAAACCTAAGAGTATGAATCCTTGCAGTCACGAAAGCTTCAAATCTAGTCGAAAAAATGTCAAAACGTAATACGGCCAGGGCTCTTAATGCCACCACACCTCGCCGTCACTTCCTTCCTTGTGCCAGGTGTCAGCTCTTGGGCAGTTGATACCAGACCTCCAGGGTATATATGCTCTTATATAGAGTATGCCCATATATTATGCTCCTGTCCAGGCCATGAGTCTCATAAGACAACATAGTTCTTAGTTACAAAGTATCTGTATGTATGTTGAACCTCTTTCGCACCATACGTATACAACCGTGCTAATTGGGGGTCTGCATGCAACCGCACCTCAAAACGCCCAACAAGTCGGAGGGGCATGGTCATTGAGTGGCACTTGAAAGGTTGGAGCGTTTTTTGCCATTCTTATTTTTTGTAAAAAAAATTGAGGTAGTAAGGAGGCTGCAGGGCAAAGGGGGAATTGAGACAGAGGTAGAGTAGAGAGGTCTGGAGGAAAACTCCTAAAAGTAATGAGTGAGTCGGCCATTGGCAGAGGAGAAGATGGGCTTCTTGAACCTGGGCTTGAGCAGAGGAAGGAGACGTCGTGGAAGTTTACCCATCCAGCAGCGTCATCAGCTCCGAGTTCGGAGGTCGTCGGCCAACGTGTGACAGAACTTCCTCTCTGTGCTTGCCATGATGAGCCGAGTCTGCATCTCAATGTCGTCCCTCGACCGTGTCGTCCCACCACGGGAGTGTACCGCGCAGACACCGTGCGACCTGGACTCGCGCCGCTCACGCTGCGGCGTATGAGGGCTTGCACCGCGGCGCTCAACCAGGCGCGAGGATCAACACGGGAGCGACGCGCATCCGTCTGTAACTCACCGCTTGCAAGCGATGAGCCTTTGGGGGGGACACGAGCTTGGCACTTGTAAGTCGGGTGTAATTTAATCCACGAGGAATTGTAAAGTTTAAAAGGCCGGCCAGCAAATGAGTTCCTAGAATACCGATGCCAAAAATACTGTACCGGTCAAACGAGTCTAACAAAGCACTCGGAGGTTTAAGATGGGCTTATAAGTACGTCTCCCGTGAAATGTTTCATTTTCTTTCTTAAAAATTTACATTTGTGTACGGTATCAACTCAATGTCAGAGTTCTTCGGTGTGTCTCGAGGTTTTACCGCGTGTTGTTGTGAATTTAGTTCATGAAGAAGCTCCCAGCACATGGTAGCGAAACATCAGACATCGCACCAAACAATGCTCGGTACAACCCGAATATATATCGGAGAGCTGTGTATAGCAACAACTTTCACAGCAGCAAAATCAAAATTTATCTTGCTCGGTCACCTGGGGGATGCTGCTCATCTCTACTGACTTATCTCGAGCCAGTAGCAGACATTCTACATTCTGATGGTGGGTGTCAGTCTGTCCCTATATTACACAATCACTGTAAACACGTATCAAAGTGGTGCTTATTTGTACTTGAACTCGCAAACTTCAGCGCCGTTACCACCACGTCGGTCCCGTTGGTTCTTTTAGAAATGACTAACAGCAAGTTCACTCTAGTTATTTCCACCATTTGGCAGTGAGTAGTACGACGTGTATCAATGCATCTATTCACGACAAGACAAATGTTGTTATTGTGTCGTCTATTCATGGGTTAAAATGAATTCTCACGCCCAGGAAGTACGCTTAGAATTGCGTGTGCCACTATCGATTATTTGCAATTTATGCAAATGATTTGTTTGTTCACTTCACGCTGACGAAACGGAAGCGGAACAAACAAGAATGAACCTCTGAGACAAACAATATGAACAAGGCCGTGCTAATGAGACAAGAGAATCCATTATTTGAATCAAACCGTGACTCCATATCATGACACTTAATCAAAACGTGGCGAGGATGAATCATTTCACTCTTCTTTAATGGTTCCAACACCGACAGATGTACGCAAAGCCAAGTTTCAGATTGGGCATGCTGCGATATATATTTTTTTCGAGTCAAAATTGGACCAAGATACCGAGATTTCTTTTAATTGGATTTCAGAAATCTCTGCACAGTTTCTTGTTACCGCCAGCGGTTTATGTGAACGTGTAAATCCCGATAAAAACCTCGGGTTCATTCTGAGTGCCGTCTTCTAACGGAATAAGTAATTTTTTTTAAACGAATTAATTAATTTGCATTCATACTTTCATTTGTTTTACACACCCAGGTGTATTTGTGGGACATGGAACTTTGGCACTGTGGTTAGCACGCCGCGTCATATGGACTTGATTAACCTCAGCAGTTCAATTCCCGGCAATGACTAACGTCGGTTGAAAGTGATATCTGAGCCATTCTTGGGCCCAAACTGCACTGACCAGCGTAGTGAAGTATGGACAAACAACCCCCGTGACCATCCAGCGTAGTGAAGTCTTCTTCCAGCAGTGAATCGACAAAGGGCTGTAAATTATCCAATTATTTGGTTTGCATGATTTTACATTATAAATCACATGTGTCTCGTGGCACATATGAACGTTTTTCACTGAAACTCTGAAAAGTCAACAGACAAACACCAAAGTCAGTGAGTGAGGCAGTTATTGAGCTAAAACGCACCCGACAAAAACCTTCTGACCTCACTGTGATTCGCTCACCGTTAGTACGGTTTCCACGGCAACACTCAATTACAGCCTCCCCCAAGGCAGTCTAGAAAGGGGAATAGCGAGTGGAGGGCCGTGTTGCTGCCTCCCCCCGTGGTCATTCCTCCCTCGTCCCCAGCAGGCCCCGTGTACAGCGCAGGCGCCCGCTCCTGCAGATGGGCACGATCGTAACTTCAAATCGGTCCATCGCATCATCGATTAAGACTTCCCTCTGGCGCCCTCGCTCCGTCCTGCGAGCAATGAGGTGGTACAAGATTGCTGAATCTCTCTGCCCCCGCTCGCCAGCTGCGCGCCCATCAAGCCAGCATCAGCTGTTGTTGTCGGGGGCTAATTGCTGCTCTTTGCCGAGTGGTGCCACCTAAATTTTTAATCGCGATTGTCGCCATTGCCATCATCCGCGTGGAAATTATTGCCCGACAGCAATTTTGTTGGCCCGGAGAGACCCATCCCATCGAGCCCGAGCAGGACGTCCAGACGACCTGAGTGACACCACACGGTCTTTAAGAGTGAGCTTTCAATACAGGACGACGTTATTGTCAACGTGAATGTTCACTTGTCATCACGCGGCACGCTTTATTGGATGACATTGCCCCTGTTGTAGCCTGCTTATATGCGGAAGAGGTTGGATTTGTAAAATCTTTGTGTAAGGGGTGAGTGCTACGATGGCTTCGGCCACTTGACCTGTTTATCTATGTGTCTTATGTCAAAAATAAGAGTGCGTTTTGTGAGGATATTCTTTTTTTACAGAGCTGATGAACAGAGCAGGCGAGTGGGAAAGTTTCTTTGAGGTTGTTTGTGTGCATTGCTGCCTCTCATGATGCAGTTGTACCAGTTCCCAGCACTGTTGGTATTTATACGAAGCTTTTGTGGATCTAATAATATAATGGCAGTTATTAATGTTGACTTTTTAAAAAGACTAATTAATTATAGATTAGAAGTTTTCGTGACTGCAAGGATCCATACTCTTTGGTTCTTTCAGTAAAGTCACGTAGATGAAAAAATAATAATAATAATAAATAAATACATAAAAATGAAAATAACTCAATTAAATCACGACGTTTCGGAAGCAACACAAGTGGACTCCAGCAAATTCTTTCTTACTGTGGCTGTCCTACTTGATGACTGAGGCTTGTGTTGCTTCCGAAACGTCGTGGTTTAATTTAGTTATTTTTATTTTATTTTTATTATTATTTTTATTTTCATCTATGTGACTTTACCGAAAGAACCAAAGAGTAAAGACTAATTAATTTCACGCATCCACAGTCACTAGTCGCATGCGTACGAGCAGCACATGTGCGTGCATGCCTTGCGTTCACATGCCACGATGATGTACGTCGTGTGTGATCTGCCTTGGTGTACATTCATTGAACACATTAAGGTTGTTAACAGTCCTCCGTTTATTTTGTTTTCACAGAGGGAATTAAAGCACGTGGATCATGACTGCACAAGCAAGTTTCACCCAAACAACGTGGAACAACGTTTTTTTTTAAACGCATTGAAAAGGCTACCACAGTAAAATTTACGACTCCATGAATTTGCCATCCCTTCAAAGGCAGCTGGGACAGTCGCACGGCGTGGAGAGGTGAGCTATGGGCGATCCTTAGTGTAGGCTGCCCTGCCTTGTGCCCCTGAGTAGGTGGCAAACTTTAACTTCCTGTGCTGTGCTGGTTACAATGAAGGGCCGCCGGAATCCGTCGCAGCATCTGTGAGCAATCGTACTTGAATGCATTATTGAACACGCAGGAAGAGAGCACACGGAGCTAACTGGGAAGCTACTTACATTAAAATATAAACAGCGAGCTATATGGCTTGATAAGATTAAAAAAATATTAAACTTTGCGGAAGAACATAAGAGATTCGCCGTTCCTGTCATGGGTGGAGGTGGCAGACATCTGAATAAGTGGATAAGGGAAAATAAATTATCATTGATTTCGCGTCATGCAACAGAAATGTGTGTTATATGCCGTGCCATTGATGAGCATGTGAATGGGAGTAACGGAGGCTGCTCGGAGACGGGAACAGAGGTGCGCAGCTGGCACTGAGCGCTGGGCACGGCACATGTGGCTTTGACGAGCGACACAGATAGATTCCTACTTGTATATTTATCTTCCGGCTTTCCAGGCTGTGGAGAACTGAAGCAAAATATTGAGGGTTGAGTTGAACATGGACGACGTGAATCCGATTCTCAGGGGCGGTAGCTACCTCATCAAGTCGAAAAAGGCTGCCGCTGGCGCCTTGGCAGGCACACCCGGCCGCAGCGACAGCTTTTACCTGCGCAACAACGGCGTCCCCAAGATGGGCACGCGCGCCTGGGTCTCCCCGTACGGCGCCGCGTGGGACGGGCGGGGCGGCGGTGTCACCAGCGACAAGCGCGGTAGCGCCGAGAACGTGTTTGGCGACGACAAGGTGGACCCCAGCACTGCTCCCACGCTGTCCACGCCGTCGTCCGCCAAGGGGGAGCGGGGGCTCACTGTTCCCGTGCGCCGCTTCCGAGACTCATCGGAGGGGCGCAGGCGGCCAATACCGTTTCAGTCGGACGGATTTGCGCATCAGCAACATCAGCAGCAGCCCCTGCGGCACCGCAGCAGCAGCGACGTGGCGCTGAGCGAGATGGACGGCGACGGTAACATCACCATCCACCCGGGCGCGGTGAACCCCAACACGGGCGTTTCTCTGCGGCGTGAGTACGGCAGCACGTCGTCCATTGACAGCCGCTCGGCCTCCAACGCCGCCGCCGCCGGTGCCGGCAAGCAGTGGTTCTTGGGGGGCAGCAGCGGCAGCATCGGCAAGGCCAAGTTTGCGGACCTCTTGAGGGTCGGCGATGCCTTGGCCGCATCCACCCTGTCGGTGAGTCAGCACGAACTCGACGACGGCAGCTCGGAGGAGGCGCGTGAGGGCCGAGGAGGAGGAGGCGGTGGTGGTAGCAAGTCGCGGCGGAAGGACAAGTGGGAGCGGTCGCTGAAGCGCCGCTCTAAGTCGGATGTGGGCGAGGCCTCCATCTTCCACAAGCTGCGCACGGGAAAGTCGGACTCTGACGGGACGGTGCGGGAAAATGGCGAAAAGGCGGACGAGGCCGGCGCCGCCACCGTGGGGGCGACGGCGGCGGCAGCCTCGGAGCGCCGCTCGTGGCGCTGCCCCAAGTGCTTTGGGCACTACGACGTGCAGAGCGTGAATTTCGACCTGCGCTCATCGGGCCAGGGCCAGCAGGGCTCGGCGCAGCAGATCAAGAACATGAGCACGGGCGCGTCGGCCGCCTCGCTGTCGGCCAAGACCGTGGCCATGATGGTGGCGGCGTCGGCGGCGAGCGGCTTCAGCTCGCCCGGCGGTAGCACGGAGGAACTGGACGCCGCCCGCGACGAGCCCGGGGCGCAGGCGGCCGACGCGGGCGACGGCAAGGGCAACGAGCTGGTGCAGAGCTGCCCGTTCTTCCGCAACGACTTGGGCGGGGAGGTGGAGAGGCAGATCAGCCTGTCACGGGCGAGCGTGGGGCTGGGCGCGACGGGCCGCGCGGCCGAGGCACTGCTGCACCTGGGCCCCACCAACGCCAGCGTCTCCGTGCTTGAGGGCTGGAGCACGGACGAAGGCCTGCGCAGGGGCGACAGGGTCAAGCGCTACGTCATCGAGCATGTGGACCAGGGTGCGCGCTACTACCGGGACTACTTTTTCGGCAAAGGTAAAGCATCTTGGGTTGGGAGCTGGCGAGTGAGTCGTACTGTGCGTGAGTCTGTCTGATGGCTGAATGAATTTGTTATCTGGTTATTTTGGCTGTTGTCATCAGGATGTTTTTAATGGTGGTCCTTAGACGATTGGTTAACTGTTCTCTGATGATGGGGCCTCTAGACAGACTGACTGAACCATTTTTGATGAAGTCTTTAGGCAAGATAATCGTCCCTCCATCAATATCAATTTAAAAAAAATATACGGTTCTCAGTGAGTATGCTCATCAGCGTACAAATGCTGAATAGATAGGACTAATAATTCCACCGTCTTCAAGCTAATAGACTAAATTTATAAAAATCCCTAATTAGGAAGTTTGATTGTTTGAATTTTAGACACAGCACTGACAAACCATCTCTTAAGTTTAACAAAAATTATCATTGAAGGTTAAAATGGTTACAAGTCTGTAAATAAAATTTGAGTATTGAGAAATGTTGTTCTCCGCATTAGCAGGAAATATTCTCACAATTACTTTATTGTGGTAATCGATTTTGTTGGTGGGTCGATATATTGTTGAATGCCTAATGATTCAAATCTGTACAATATAAGCTTTTAAATGGCTCCTCGTTTATTGAAGTTGATGGAGCGGTTTAGGAGGAGTTCTCTGGGCAAATATGTATGTACAAATTATCTGCTTGTGTGGATATGTGGGGAAGTGGTGGTGCAGTACTCAGCGAAATGTGCTATGAACCCAGTGACCTAAATATTAGTCCAAGCCTAAGACACGCAACTTGTTTGAGGTGTCCAGTGTCTGGGCCACCGATTCATACGAATTAATTACTTCTCTATGCAATCAGCAGAGCATCAAAACTACTTTGGCATGGATGAGAACTTTGGGCCGGTGGCTGTGAGCATTTGTCGGGAGAAGATGGAAGATGCGAAGGACAGCACACAAGGCCCCCAGTACAACTACCGCATCATCGTCCGGACCAGCGCGGTGAGAGGATGCATGTCCGTTTTTTGTGGAAGGTTTTTAACGAGTTCAGGAGCTCATTGTGGCCAAAGCCATTGATGCCACCACAGATCTCCAATACATTCTATCCCTCTGCGAGAATTCCGTAGCTGCTTGCACAGGAGAGATTCGACCTCAAAGATTTTCCCAGACAGTATCCCACCATCGAGTATTTAGTCTCCTCCTTTGTCGCCGCACACGCAGAGGCCATTTAGATGGCTGTGTTGGTATCCGGCCCATTATAAATATCATGCCCAATCATATCTACAACGCTTTCCTGCCGTGTTCTCTTCCAGACTTCTTTATTGCTTACCCTGTCTTGCCACGAACTATGACAATTAATGCGAAATACTTTAAGTGCATTCTAAAATAATTTTTCAAACTATTATAAGAATTGACATTGCTGTGATCAAAGAGAAAAGGTTTTGTTTCAGTTCCGTCTGTGTTCATTGCAAAGCCTTTACTAGGCCACAATCACATTTCAACCAAAGGTTAAAACAATTTACAATTCAATGTTTATCTTACGTTGATTGTAAATCAAATACAATGAGTATTTACGAGGGATTCGGATATTTTAGATGTGATGTGTTAAAAAAACATCATCTAGAATCAATCCCATCGACAATTGATTAGAATAAAATGTCATTTGAATACCGTAATAAAAATAATACAATGTATTAATAGTATAACACGTAATTACGCAATGTGTTGTGTAGTCGGAGCACCTGCCCCCGCATCTATGGTCTGCACTTTCACCAACCCGCACTGACCGGCATAGTGAAGTACAGTCAGACAACCCCTACGAACCACACGGCATAGGGAGGCCCTCATCCAGCAGTGGACTAACAAGGGCTGTACACGTATGTGTTGAAAGTGCATGTAGCCTGGTTCAAGCACCGTGATGACATCAAAACCATGTACCAGCCAATCACAACGAATTGTAGTGAAGCGCATTGACCAGCCAATCACAACTATTGCTGTTATCGTTGCTGTTGCATGCGTCGTCTGTAATCCGCGCAAAATTCATTGACTGGTCTCCTTTGTTCCTCGCGCGCGCACGCGGCAGCTGACCACGCTGCGCGGCTCCCTGCTGGAGGACACGGTGCCGTCGTGCTCAAAGACCGGCACGGTGCGGGGGCTGCCGCTGCGCGACGTGCTCGAGTACGCCGTGCCCGAGCTGCATGTCTCCTGCCTCCGGCTGGGACAGAACACGCCGCGCGTCACCGACCAGTTGCTGTGCCTCGACGAGCAAGGGGTGGGTGTCGGGGAAGGGCGGCTCGCAGTGGGACTGGTGGTGGATCTCAAGGAGTGGGCGGCAATGGGGGGGGATGCCCCCTTACCCCCCCCCCTCTTGAGATCCTGAAAATGTGTACTTTATTTAAATCATTTTTTTGCCGAACGATATTATTTTTAGGAGGTTAAGAGCATACCAATGCTTCGTTTTTGTTTAATCTTACCTATGAAAGTCACGTTTTGTCTGTCTGTGTGTGGACACACCTTATGATGCTTTAACCTGACAAACTACTGGGTTTACGTTTCAACAAGCTACACACATACGACACAATATGCCCCCAGACGAAACATGGCTATTTGTTTTTCCCATCCGTCAAATCTAAAGTAGTTAAATTAACAATGTATTATTGTTATATCACTGCGCTGAGGGCGGCGCCAAACCACGCATCTGCGCATGCTCAGAAACGTTGACCCGTCGTTGCCCCTAGCAAACGCACACACGATCAGTGGGGACGGGGGGGGGGGGAATTCTCATCCCTCCCCCTCCCCAATGGTTTAGGACAAGAAAATCGAAAGTTTGAGAAAGCAAATTTAGTAAAATTAAGAAGTGTAATACAATGCAACACAAAGGGTCGGTTAATACACAGTTAACGCATAGCCTGGTTGATTAACATTCTTCAAAAAGATTGCTAAATTAGAAGTAAAGTGTGATAAAACACAGACACGGAAATAGCATAAACTTTCGATTGTCTTGCTCTAAATCATTGTCTCTCCTCCTGCCACTGTGGTCCGGAATTCCACACTGCTCCCTCCTTGTCGTCCCCTCGTTTGTCTGCTGGTCCCGCCTTCCTCAGTCCTCTCTCTGCCCCGGCACCTTCCCCCATCTCTCTATTTAAGGCCTCGGCACAGATTCGTTGTCCTTCTGTTTGTCTTGGTGTGTGTCTCGCTCTGTGTGTCTTTGTGTGTGTCTCTATCTGCGTGTGTGTTTGCCTATGCTGTTCCCGTATCTGTGTTTTATCACTTCATTCTTACTTGATGATGGTTGCTTGTGTTGCAACCGAAACGTCGTATTCTATTATTTGATTTGATTTTCTACGTGACTTTCCCGAAAGAACCAAAGAGTAATTCCTGCAGTCACGAAAGATTTGAATCTAGTTTAAACTACTACATATTCTGTATTTTTTTTCGGTAAAGTCAGATAGAAAAATAATAAAAATAAAGTGGTATTTGTCTTAGACCTTGCAGCCACTCACTGGTAAGACCACCTCTTCTGTACTCAGCTCACCTGGTATCGTCAATTAAGGACATCTCACTGTCCCCAGGTGATTTGATCGTTAGTTTGATGTAGTTTCTTTGTTCACCAAAGTTCCTGTGCCCGATACAATTGCAATCATTGAAGATTTGGTCCAACAAGGATTGAATGCTGATGTACCGGCCCTGGTGAGACACTGCCTCACCAATACATACTTTACCTGGAATGGAACATTCTACAAACAAACTGAAGGCACCACAATGGGTTCTCCCTTATCTCCGGTCTGAGACACGTCGCTTCGTTTCGATTGTGCGGTCAGAATATCCATACGTGTCCAAGCTTACTGGCTAGGTGGTGCTTGTCGGAGATGCAGTGTTTTGTTGAGGAAATTATTTTGGGCTGGGTGGTGGTGGGAGTCAGGGTTTAGATAGGAATCTGTGTGGGTGGCTTTCCTATAGACAGAGTGTCCCAACGAGCCATCAGGTCTCTTCTTGATCAAAACACCCAGGAATGGTAGCTTGCCATGATTTTCCACTTCCATGGTGAATTTGATAGATGGGTGTACGGAATTGATGTGGTTGAGAAATTGGTATAGTTTCATCCGGCCATGTGGCCAGATAACGAACGTGTCATCTACATACAGTAGAACCTCTGGTCACGAACGCTTCTGATCACGACCGAATCGGGTTCCGACCAAAAAATTCACGAAATTTTTTAATCTGGTCACAAACACATACTCGGGTGGCGATCAAACACGGCCAGTGGCCGATTTTCCCTTCCGTGCCATTTTTTTGTAAGCGCCAAATTTCCTGTTGTTTGTTTACAAACAGCGACCCACGTGTGGCCGCTTGCTCAGTCAGTCTCGCTTAGTAATCGGTCTCGGTAAGATATTAATTTTGTGAGTGTAGTCATACCCCTCCCCCCTCATTCAAGCCGTAATTTAGAGAGCGAAAGTGCTGAGTACGTAAATCACTAACATAAGAACCTTTTAATCTCTTATCGCATCATTCATATGATGATGCGGTGAAGTAAACGTTCATACGATATTACGGTGAATGCTTCCAAAAACAATACTGTACCCAAATATTACTGTTAACTTACTTTCAATAGAAACATGAATTGCTCATACGAATATTCTCTCTCTCTCTCTCTCAGAATCGACCGACTGATGTAGCAGACGAAACAATCATCTTGTTGAACAATTCGTAACCTTGACGCGGCAATGTTAGTTTTCTCTGTTGTTCAAGGTTTCTCAGTGTTATTCAATGTTTTTACATTTTGTTAACTATTACACTGTGAATTCTATGGCATGATTAACTATTTTTTTGCTTAAAAATCTTTTAAAAACAATATTTATATACAGTTCGTAAGAGTCTGGAACGGATTAATCGTATTTACATACAATCCAATGGGGAAATTAGGTTCGAGTCACGACCAAATCGGGTTGTGACCAAAGTTATGGAACGAATTATGGTCGTGACCAGAGGTTCTACTGTATCTCTTCCACAAGGAAGGACGTCGGGTGGATGTCTGGATGGCGTCTGTCTCAAATTTCTCCATGGTAATAGGGGAGAGCCCATTGGGGTACCTTCATTCTGTTTGTAGAAAGTACCATTCCAGGTGAAGTAAGTGTCCGTAAGGCAGTAACTTACCAACGAAGGAACATCAGGATCCAATCCCTGTTGGACTAGGTCTTCAATGATTGCAATAGTATCAGGTACGGGTACCTTGGTGTAGAGGGAGACGAAACTAACAAGCAAATCCTCCGGGGACAGTGATATGTCCTTGATTAGTGAAACCAAGTGAGCCGAAGCTGAGGCGGACTTGCCCGTGAAGGGAAGCAGAGTCTCAGACAGAAATCGTGCCAGTCTGTATGTGGGTGAGTTAATGGTGCATACAATAGGATGGAGTGGAGTACCCTCTTTATGGATTTTTGGAAGGCCGTAAAATCGGGTTGGTCTAGCAGCTGAAGTTTTTAGAGAGAGCTGTTTGGTGCGTTCGATTAGGGAAGTCGAATTAGTGATGATTTTGTTGGTTTTAGTAGCCAAGCTATTGGTAGGGTCTCTGTTCATTTTGGTATAGCAGCCATCATTTAGAAGGTCTTGGGTTTTGTTGTATGTGGTTTAAGTCATAATGACAGTGGCATTAAACTTGTCGGCTGAGAGGATGACAATATCATCTCTCTTTTTTAATTGAGCGAGTTCAAAACGTTCATCCTTGCTAATGTTGCTAATGTTGCTAATGGGTTTCTTAGCATTCTTGAGGATAGCAGCAATTCCAGATCTTGCAACGTCTGCCGGGATGTGTCCCAGACCTTTGAGGTCTACGTCGACCATGGCAATGATGTAATCCACTGGGATGACTGCGAAATTCAACCCCTTGGCTAGTACCAATTTTTAGGCTGGCAGAAATGGGTTGTTACTGTGATTGATAAGAATCTTGTTAACATCTAACTTTTCCAAGTGTGGTTCGGGTTTCTTTCTTGACAAGAGGTTGAATTTGGCAATCAGGTTGGCTCTGCTTTTGGTTGACATTGAAGCAGCTGAAGAAACAGTCATGTTATCCACATGGTCCCCCAATCACATGTGGACATTTTGTCTGTTAATGCTGAATGTGATTGTAAGAGAGTCTTGTCTAAATTATCAAGTTCAAATCGGAGCAGCGTTATTCTTTCTGAGATTAGGGCTGGACTGGCCTTGAACAAGATCTGTTTAGCGTTAGGGGAAGCAACAGCAGCAGATGTGAGTGTAAAGGCGATCGGTATCACCTTGTTGTCGCGGCATCTCTTTGGAAGGTCAGAGACTCGATCAGATGTACCTTCTTGACTCGCAGTCTGTTAAAAGATCTCACAGTTATGTGGAAGCCCTCCCCGTAGTGTTGCAACTGAAACGTCGTGTTTTCTTTTGTTATTTTGTCTATCTCCGTGACTTTACCGAAAGAACCAGAAAGTATGGATTCCTGCAGTCACGAAAGCTTCAACTCAAGACTACTACGATAGTCAGTCGATGCTACTGTAGAGTTAGTCGTTACTACTATAGTCAGTGGATATTACTATAGTCAGTTGTTACCACTTTAGAGTCGGTAGATACTACTGTAGAGTCGGTAGATACTACCGTAGAGTCGGTAGATCCTACTATAGAGTTAGTAGTTACTACTATAGTCAGTTGTTACACTATAGAGTCGGTAGATACTACCGTAGAGTCGGTAGATACTATTATAGTCAGTGGGTACTACTATAGAATCGGTAGATACTACTGTAGAGTCGGTAGATACTACTGTAGAGTCGGTAGATACTACCGTAGAGTCAGTAGATACTACTATAGAGTTAGTAGTTACTACCGTAGAGTCGGTAGATACTACTATAGAGTTAGTAGTTACTAGTATAGTCAGTGGGTACTACTATAGAGTCGGTAGATACTACTGTAGAGTCGGTAGTTACTACCGTAGAGTCGGTAGATCCTACTATAGAGTTAGTAGTTACTACTATAGTCAGTTGTTACTACTATAGAGTCGGTAGATACTACCATAGAGTCGGTAGATACTACTATAGTCAGTGGGTACTACTATAGAGTCGGTAGATACTACTGTAGAGTCGGTAGATACTACTGTAGAGTCGGTAGATACTACCGTAGAGTCGGTAGATCCTACTATAGAGTTAATAGTTACTACTATAGTCAGTTGTTACTACTGTAATGCGGGCGTAAACGGCCCTCCGGAGGTGACGTCAGGAGGGGAGGAGTTAGGTCACGTGGGGGGGTGAGGGGTGAGGC